TATTAGAGATTAGTAAGCAAAGATTAGTAAGCAAAAGGAATCGAACTTGGAATCGAACTCGCAAAACAAAACGAGAGCTCGTCGTCTGCACACTTAACACTGCGCTATACTCAGATAAGCTTCTAACAAGGGAATGGTCAGAAGTCGAAGTGGCCAAACCAAACAAGCTGTATACTATTCAATGCAGTATAAAACGCTGACTTCGAATCTGTGGTGTACAGCTTGTTTGGTTTGGCCACTTCGACTTCTGACCATTCAAATGTAAGTGGTCAATGAGTACTTATGATGCGCGGCGGCCTCACGGCGGAATCGAAGACCATAACTTCGTGTATGTGAGCGATAATCAGATACCGAAGGCGGATATGTAACCAGTCCTCAATGGAGCCAATAAAGCTATCTACTAATCTTGGCCTACGCTACCTTAGTTAATAGAAGATTTCCTCGATGGAGTGTTCAGGGCCCGGCAGGAGTCGGTTTCTAGGGTTTCTGAAAACGAAGTCTCCCCTGACTTTCGGAAGTCTTGAAATCAGAACCACCAGTACCTTTGTAATTGCAATAATGCAAAGTTAGGCTTCCAGACTTTAGACGCACCTGTACTTCGATAAAGTGCTGAGTCATTTTTGATTAGCGAATAGCCACACATGCCCTTTGTTCGCCACCAAGAAAGTGTTCCACATAGCCTCTCGACCGGATAAGGCCTCTCCAAACTTCACATGCATGCAAGTTATACGATGTCCCATCGTATTTGCTCTAAAACAAGGTTCACTGCCTGCAGTTCTGCTAGGCAATGCACATGCATGTAGAAAAAGCGTTTTTGCAAACAATGCCTTGAATTACGTAAGCCAGCAATGCTAGTTTTTCAATGATCAGAGGACGATTGAAATCTTCTATGTACTCAACTGCGTGAAGTGAACGTTCAATCTGTTTTAGATTTTTTTGGAGCCATAGGTCTATGTTTTCGACTATTTGCTTTCAGCTATTCTCTGGAGACCATTGATAACAAATACATTGCATCATATAACAAAAAATCTATTCCATTGCAAATCTAGAGTTATGATATGGCCATCGAAAGTATTAACGGCATATACAGCCAATGATTTTTGTAATGTATACGCAACGTCTTTGTAGAGCACTAAGCAGCGAATGGTCAGAACTTAACCCACCCATACCAAAAAAGCTACCTATCATCGGACTCGTTTTGTATGCTGGGCAAATATCTGTTTGTTATCTGCCAAACGACTATCTGAAAAGAGTTATGCGCGCTTTGTGCGATTTTGCAAGTGTCCTGTAGAGCATATCACGAAATACGGTTAAAAGCAGTAACTTAGGGTTTCTGGTGCATGTGTGCTTCTTTCTTCCAATTAGGATACCCATAATCATTGTTCCGCGCCCTCAGGCTTCCTTTCAACGAACTATATTCGTTAAAACTTGTTGGAATGATTTCTCATGTTTGCACGGCCACAACTCCTTCCAAATGGTCGCTTGGCATTTAGGAACATATTTTTGTAATCACGCTTCAAGGCGAGTTCTAACTCTAAGATATACTGCTTGTTAGAATTGGCCGGGTTACGTTCTGAACATCCCTCGTAAGTCACTTTTTTTCAAAGAGACTTTAACATTTCGACGCTTATGTTTCACTGAGAGCAAAACGAAATCGGCCTAAACCATTTCCCGCAGTACCAAACCATCATATGTTTTCCTTTGTCAGCTAGCTTCAGCCCTGTTTAGACTCAATCCATATCTTCAAAAATGAGCCTACTCTTTACATCACCATTCTACGAAGTTTTTGCCTAAAAGGAATAATCAGACGAACAGAACCAAGTGACAAGAGCGGACAAATGGGCTTATTCTAAAAAACAGATGGAAAAAGTGTCCGATATTTGTAGTCAAGTAGTTTTAATTCGGCAGAAGTAGAAAAAACACGTCAAAAAACTAGGATCGTTTTGTTTAGCAAAACACTAGAAATGAATGACAAAGTGAGTGTTTATCCAGTATTGCTTACTTTTTCTGTCGCAGAGATATGCAAGTTATAGATAGTATGTAGATGAGCGGTCTAGTAGAAAAAACACGTCAAAAAACTAGGATCGTTTTGTTTAGCAAAACACTAGAAATGAATGACAAAGTGAGTGTTTATCCAGTATTGCTTACTTTTTCTGTCGCAGAGATATGCAAGTTATAGATAGTATGTAGATGAGCGGTCTACCTGTTCTCTAAAAAATGCTTTTCAGCTTCCGCACTTATTTTCGGTCAATCTGATAATTACTTTTAGTAATAGGTTGGCACATAAGTTTTGCAACCTTGTCCATAACTTCGTTCTCTATGAATAAGGCGCATCCAAATTTTGGCATTATATAGACTCGGAAGTGCGCTATAAATCTGCGCAAACCGTTTGATTTTTCGTGGCAAAATGGGAAAAATCTGCGTATTCTCCTAAAAGCAGTCAAAATTGAGGTTTTGTGGTTTTTTCAACAAAAATGAAGACCTACAGAAAGTAAGTCAACCAAATTCAGCTGGAATTGTAGGCAAAATGTTCTCAGAGGGTGGCTACTGAACCCAGCGAAAAAAGAATCGTGATTCATTGTTAAATCGAAATCTGGCGATTTCATAAACTCGAACAAATCGAATGCGTCAAAGTAGCTTGGATAATTCATCAATGCCAAAGAGTCAGAATTGTCGGATTTCGGCGAAACTCTGCACGATGGGGTAACTTGACATGCTGAATACGAATATCATATTCAATTGTTGTCAGAGTCAAAAATTAGCCTAGTGATTTTTTGTAATTCAACTTTTTCGTAGCAAAATATTTTTTTCAAGCAAAATGAATATCATTTTCGTAATCAGGATGTCGAATAACCCCCTTAGACCAAGTTTCACCCTAATCCGTTTCAATTCCTTTTTCTTTCCCATTCAAAAATTGCCTTGCCGTAACTCTCGAACGTGATGTTGGAATACGGCAGGAATGGCTGCTTTCGCTGTTCACACGATACTCATTATAATACCTGAAAATAGAAGCGCCACATCGCAAAACACGCGAGTTATAAGAAAAAGTTGCAAAACTTATGTGCCAACCTAATACATATGCTTCGTACAACATTAACACAAAGGATTTCATCTGGTCTTTGGATTTCTTACGGATTTGATAACATGGCCAAAACTGGCTGAGTTTAGAAAAATATGTAACATGTTTGCTTCGCGACCAATTTCTAGGCCTCCAAAGGATTCAAAATAATAAGCCAGTTGAACATCACCACAAACCTGCACGGTGCAGTGAAATGACTATACAGAATTCCATGGTTTAAACAAATTCCAACAAAAATACAAGGCGTTTTTTATTTTTTACTTCTGTAAATGTGTGACGTGATTCAGCTCTGCAATGTACAGCTCCCGTTGAGTAACCAACCCACTTGAACCGCTTGTACAGCTTGATATACATATTTCACACATACCTGCACACTGTCTTATTTAAATGTCAAAATAGACATTGATTTACACATTTATCTGCTGGTTATTTTCATTCAGTCATTTTATCTTGCTAATAGGAGTACGAGATAAAATAATGAGACTTTTTATCACCAAAAAGAGTCGATGAGTCGAAGCTGATTATAACACATTTGATACGGTCTCATCGATTCTCCATCATTCGTGTGTGTCATAGAAACTTTATTGAGCAGTATTGCACTGTAAAAAAAATAGTTCATAAGAACCAAAGAAGAAGCGCTCAGTGCAAAGAAACGGCAGACTTGTAGCTAGCTTTTGCTGCTCTCTTCATTTTCACAGACATATTGTAAATACTTACATCGGCCAGTATCACTCAGCATTCGTCGTAGGGGATTTGCACGAGAGTGTATCAGACCATCTATATGGTCAAGACTATCACGGAAAATGTGGATGAAGTAGTCATAGTGGCGGATGTCAAAAATAAATAATTGCTCAAAGGCTTACCGTGTTTCAACTGGCCACAGTTTTTATCCGTTGTCTGAAGTTAATTGCGACGTCCTAAGTTTATGTTAGATTGATTGAACAGGTATAAGGCTTTCAAATTGAGTATCACGGTCGGCGCGCTCGCGAGCCAAGGATACGTATTTTCTTGGACCTGATGTGTGGGAAATATGTATACTTAGGCATTAAGCTGACAAGCTTGGGAAAATGTTCCTGAAACACGCTCGCAAACGCGGGTGTGGCCTAGGCGACGCGGCTCGCTAGAATGCAGCCGCGACAGAATGGAATCTGTTATTTCAACCTGTATATAGGTATGCACCGAGCGCGGCAAGCGGACACCTCATTAAATCGCTCAATGGCGATTCAATAAGGTGTCCGCTTGCCGCGCTCGGTGCATACATATACTGTGTACTACATCTCCACAAATGGTTATTCTGAAAAAAGGTTTTAATGGCGATTGAATGGCTGGCTTACTACCTGAACACATACGATATGCATTTGCATCCAATCAAAACAAAAGAGAGAGGAGAACATACAGAGAGATAATACATGTCACGCGTGATGCCAATAGGAATATTGAGTTACAAATGACTCAACCAAACATATTTCTGATGCCGTAATAATTGCATTAGGTAGGCGCAGTGCAAGATCATCCTTCCCATAACGAAGATGAGATTTATGTATCTAGAAACGGTTTTATCAATTTTATTGCAAACATTTTTGTGATGAACTTGGGAGATAAGCAGACGGATTTTACAGCACACATTCGTCGCCACAGCCAGTCGCCAAGCTTTGATTCAAAAGTAGTTAGTTGGCTCAATTCACTGTGCTAAGGAATACTGATCACACCTTATAGCCCACTTCAATGAAAGGCGACTGTGTTGCAGCAAACTCGTGATGCGAATAAAAAAAACGCATCCATTATGGCCCAAAATCAAAAAATCTTATACAACCAGCTGTGCAAAGAAGAAACTCAAATCATACACGTGTATAAAAGGCAGAACATATAGAAAGGCTCTTCGGAGGGCAGAAAGCCAACAATTCTCTCTTTCCTTCTTCGTTTCGTAAGCTGTAACATCATTTATTTCAGAATTGAAACAGGTATTGACGCAATTTATAAAGAAAAGAAGATGCTTCAATTATTTGTCATTGCTATCACGTGCTCCGTAGCTCATGGTATGACTTACACGGCGTGTACGAGTGGAGGGAAGGTACATACCTTGGGCAATTGCTTATCATAATATCGAAAGCTTACTTTTGAGACACTCACTCCCTCATTAATGGATATTTGGATGCTACAAGGGCAACTTTAGAGGCAAAAATAAACGTGCAGTAAACGGATATGCTGCATATACTTGTGATTGTTGCTGCTCTGGTGCATTGGGTGTTATGCCACTGTATAGGCTACTGCCCATCGAAGACGCAAACACGAACGTGGCTTCATTAGCCGTAGGGCGCATGAGGCGCAGGGTTTCCAACGGTTTAGATACGCGAGTGCCGCGTTCGCTCTCGCTCAGCATATAAAGGCTGCTGCATGACGAAGGCGCAGAAGCAGTATTAGTTGAGCGGGAGCGAACTTGCGCGCGCGTATCTTCACCCTTTGTAAATCCTGCGCCTCGTGCGCTCAGAGGCCAATGAATTCGCGTTCGCGCCCAAAGATATTGCGCCTACGTCATGCAGCAGCCTTTACCGCGACGGCAATGAAGTATGTGATTTGAGCAACACTGGTTACTATGTGCTCAAATGTTACAAGGATAATCTCAGAATTGGAAACAAATGTCACAAATCTAAGGGGGCATCAATTTTGATGATAAAAATGCCTAAAAATTAGCTTTTGAAAAGTTTCAGCGAAAAAGGAGTTCAAGCGCATTCCAAGTGCATCTTTGTTGAAGAGCTTTGGAAAACTCATACTGTTTTTGTTACATGATCTATATCGTAATCATTCTTTTTAAACTTTGGTCTGTTTTTTTTTGCAGCATCCCCAACACAATGCGGCCTATCGATTGCCATTGCACTTACACCTACCCTCGACGTCAATCCCTAAGTTACATTTGCAAAGTGGAGTGTTGTGGTGCGGCCGCCTCGCTTTGGGCTCGCGCCACCTTGCGAGCGCATGAGTTGGCATGGCGTGGCAACAGGAGCAACGAAGAAACGTTGTTCTTGTTGCCACGTTTGAACATGTTGTGGCGCCACGTTGTTTTTAGCGCCACATCATGTCTAGACGATGCCCCATCAACGTGGCGCGAGCGCAAAGCGAGGCGGCTGCACCACACCACTCCACTTCGCAAATGTAACTTAGGGATTGACGTCGAGGGTATATGTCATCAAAAATTACAAAAAGTCTTCTGAAAGTAAAATTTGTAAAAATTAAGCGGTTCGCATCTATAATACTGATGATCCATAATGGTTTTGCAATTAACTTTCTTGTATCATTAACTTTCAACACCGTTACGGTATACTTGATATATGCCAATTTCAGTACTTGGAGTCGGCATTTGCTTGCGAGGACATATCGCCTGCAGCTGTCTGCACAAAATTTTACTTCAAGGCTAATATGGCAAAGGCTGGCGATACAGGGGAAAGGCACCCAAACTGTTATACGGTAGCTTTAACTCGTAGTTGAAGTTAAAAGCCTCAAAAATTAAAAATTTCAAAAAATAACATGTGATATAATGTTAACAAGTTTAAAAGCCGCTGGAAGTTTCAGATCAATCTCATGCATATATAAAGTAAGTTAGGCTGTTTAATATTGTAGCAATAGCTACGACATTCTTAATGCGTAGCAGTACAAAGCCTCCCCGCTCAACTGCTCACTCTGAAATAACCTATTCATATATTAGGTTGGTCTAAAAGTTTTTGCGCATCGTATTCAATAAATCACAACTTCTTCATATCTCAAAAGATTTCTTTGAGAGTAACTTGGTATGAAAGCATAGATCAAGCTCTTTATAGCAGTTAGCCTCCGGTCAGATAGTATGAGGAAATTCGATAGATTAAAGCGTACAAACTGAATTACTCAAGAGCGGGATTTTTGAGCAGCGTCACGAAAAACTCTGAAAACATTTTTGTTTGAAAGGGGAAGTTTTGTACTGTACAGTGCAACCTTCCCCATGGATTATTATGAAATATTAGGTTGTAACATGAGTCATGAGACACTTTAACTTCTTACGGCGATACGTCATGCAGTTCACATTTTCAATAGGAGTCCAGGGCACCACTTGATAGAACAAAGCAAGCCTTACAAGATGGTTTGCGAAAGTTTGCGTTAACTTCGACCCATTGTAAGTTTGCATCCAAAATGTGAGTCGTACTGATGGCTCAGAAAATCACGAGAAACTCATATATTCGTTCAAAAAGTCCTACGAATCCCAATTTGCTCAAAAAAATTGCATCTACATCGGACACATATATGTACCGTTCCTGAATTTTTTCCTCATTCATAAAGCGAGAAAACGAAATTAGTTTTTAAAAACCAATCCAAACTGTTTCCATTCATGTAATTGCATACCACAATCCCTTAGAAGTATAACTGTAGGTTTTCAATTCTCCACAAACCTTAGTTTTCTGAAATTATCGGATTTAGCTCTCCTCACTTGAACATTTCATGCGAAAATCAACATTTCTCGTAAACTGAGGCTTGTGAAAAGCTGAAAATTTACGGTTATACCTTTAAGGGATTGTAGTATACAATTACATAATGGAAATAGTTTAGCTTCGTTTTTGTAAAAACTTAAAAAATTTTCGTTTCCTCGATTTCTAAATAAGGAAAAATTCAGAAACGATACATATAAGTGTACGTATGTAGTTGCAATTTTTATGAGCGAAATGGAGATTTGTGGGATTCTTTGAACGAAAATATGAATTTTCCGTGATTTTCTGACCCTTCAGTACGACATATTTTGGATGCAAACTTGCTGTGGGTGAGGTTAACGCAAACTTTCGTAGACCATCTTGTAGGGCTTGCTTTGCCCTATCGAATGCTGCCCTGGGCTCCTATTGAAAATGTGAATCGCAGACTTACCGCCGTAGGAAGTTAGAGTGTCTCAAGATTATGTTACAGCCTAATATAGTAACTCGAAAGTTGGAGGCAAATGAAGAAAATTACTTTAGTTTTCCGATTTTTGAGCATGCTCAAAAAGCTTCACACATCGCAGCAGAGGCCGAAACAGTCATAAAATAAGTTTTATGAGCTCCTCTTTCTAGTTGAGCAAAATTCGTGCCAATCTAGAGCAGATTTGATTTTTATGAAAAACGCAGCCAGTAAAACTCGAGAAATAAACGAATACCAAATTTTCTCTAAATTGACACGAACCTCACTGTTCATGATCGTTTTGTCATTCTTGTGACGTTTGAACCTTTTTGAGCTTGCAAAATTGAAGTAATTCTCTTCATTTACTTCTCTCTCAAACTATTTCGTACTAACTCATGGCATAGGTGCCTCTGTGATGTGCAAAGATTTCTCTTCCAAACACAATTTTCGAAATTTTCGTGGCCCTGCTAGAAGAATGTACAAGAACGTTAAGACCAACCTATTAGCATATGGTTGATCAAAATATCATGGGCTGGTGTGCTGCTGCGTTGTTACTTCTTCTAATCAATCAGTCCGGCAGCAACATATTGTTTTGACTAGTTGATTGATTCAGGATGGAACTGCTGCTTCTCCTACAGCAAACAAAGAAATTCTGCAGGCTGCATTGGATTCATGTCCAAAGACTTGTGGCTTATGCTGCATGAGTGCCAAGTTTGACTGTGAGGATGACAAAAGTGAGCGCCACAGCACAATTATTTCTTTTTTGAAAAGCATTTTTCTAAAATGAGTATCATTAGTTTTAATGAAAAAATTTAGATGTTCCAAGTTCCGAGACAACCTCTGGTCGGCAGCCCCGATCTGTAAAATTAGAACTCAGTATTTCGTCGTAGCATCAGCCGTTGCAACTTTTTTATTTACTACATGTTTTTAATTCTAAAAAATTGCAAAGCTAATTTTTTAGTGTAAACTCGTTGAAAATTCTCAAGACTTTCTAAGGCACAGAGAACTATTTTATGGTAGAAGAACAGTCAAAAGGCAGGTTATCAGCATACAACTAGTCTAGCTAGGTCAACGGTGTTGTAAACAGGTGATTACCGTGCATATCCCATCGTATGATCTGCACTCATAAAAAATTTCACTCTTTCTCGAAGGTTTCTGCACATATTTGATTTGAAAAATGCTTAAGTATACATGTTATGATATTGTATATTTTTTATAGACATCTTACAGACTTTGGTTGTGCCAAAATGGCAGCATTGCCAAAACGAAAATTGGGTCCAGGCTTTCCAATTGGCAGAGAAATGTCCGAAAACGTGTGGGCTGTGCGACCAGAAAAACCCAGGTAAATTCCTGAATTCACACTCAAATGAGGAGTGAGATACAAAGTATATAATTTGATTTTATGCGTCAAATATAAGGAAATTTCATATGTAAGCACTCAATCAACATGATACTAGAAATTATAGCCAGCTGTTATAGCCGCATTAATAAGATAGAAGAGTCAAGTATGTCATTTTACTCACCCATACATTTTTGGAAAGAAGAAGAGATTGTAAGCAAAGTTAATCATCCTCCAGCCAAGCAAACCATCCAGAGTGCGCAAATAAGTGTTTTTTCATTTCTTCTACCTTCCTCTGGCTCATAGTGAACGTTTCCTATGATGACTGGCATTTCAGTAGAATCCATCGAAGTAAGTACATTTTTCAACATGTAGTTGCGAGCAGCAGGCTGGCTGCAGCTTTCTTCGAGCAGCTTCAAGCTTTCCAAGCACTAAATCAGAGAGAAACTGAGAAGTTCCTTCCTACTCCCAAAATAATTTCATACTATATTGTAGGATGCGAAGATATACTGGATGGTTGCGAGAAATCTCTGTGCAGCGATAAAAATTACAGGGATATAATGCAGGTGGGAACAGCTTACAAAGAAGAGCACGCGCCTGTGTGAATTCTTAGATACAGATAAGTGTTACCGAAATTATTTTGCTTTGAACTATTGAAGGCACCACGCGTCGGGAACTGATGGTGGTGAAATTCCAATGCAGTATAATAGCAGGCTTTCTGACTAAGTAACTGTCCAAGTCCCACTGCAAAAGATGACTTCCAAAAGAAAGTAATGTGGACTAAATTGGGCTCTTAGTCGCTATATGTGTCGAGAATCTTTCTTTCATTAAAAAAAATGAGATTTGTGACTACTTGACATCCAGTTTAGCACAAATTACTTTAGACCATTTACAAAGGACGGAACAGACTTATCAGTAGGTCACTTATATAGCGATTTTCTCGCCACAGAATCCATCTTTTGTAGCGGAACTTGGGCAGTCATTCAGTCAGGGGCCTCCCGTCACCCTCAGATAAAAAAGATTTAGTTTGCAAAACAAGTCTCAGTAGGGGCTGTAACGTATGTAGAATCCTATTTACTAATCCTAGAATAGTTGGATTACGATAAACCTAGGTAGTGCCTTATTCACCTAGAAGGTACACCATTTCTTTTTGTATAACAGGCAAACATGTCATAATAAGCATTTACATCTATTGTACATTGATCCGGTTTTTGTGGGCTCCAGAACTTATTGTTAATTGAAAAAAATCTCCTCGTTGTCGCATTGTTGAAACGAGTTAGAGATTTTTGAGATCGTAAGACACAACTCATGGTATATCTATGCTCTCACTTCACAAAACTCTCAGAAATTTGAAAAAAAAAATTAGTTAATTCCAGGAACAGTGCAAAAGAACATGCGAGTATTGTGATGATGAGACAATCACCACTAAACCACCAACCACTATTGGTGAGTATCAAACATACACTTTTTCAGAGTCGAAACGTTTGCATGTCCACTTGTTGATTGCTATGCTTACATATATTATATATTACACTATTCTAGTTTCTACTTCCGCTTCAAAGGAGGCCACCACAACTGTGCCTTGTGGAAAAGACGACAGGCAAGTCAAAAAACATCGGTTTTTTCTACTAAAATCATTTAAGATGTGAGAAATGGGTGAAGAATAAGTTCTGTGACAACACTGGTTATGATTATGAGACGAAGAAGAAATTCTGTGGCCAACTTTGCGGTTTATGTTAAGCCCAGACACAGGCAAACTCAAATCACCTATCCACGCATTGGTTGTAAAGGTGTTTGTGTTCAATGAATATCGTTGCAAGAGTCGTTTCACAAGCAAAAGCAGCTCTGTTCATCAAACTGAAACCTCTCACAGACATTAAACTTATAGCGGCATTTCTGGGGTCCAAAGAATTCGGTATAAATTAAAGCTATGGTTGTAAGGAGGTGAGTACTTTCATCTCCACAAGATTCTTAAACGAGTTCACTGAATACACTTTATACAGCTCATAATGCTTAGATATGATAACATTAGCTGGTGGCTTTGAAGTATAACATAAAGTATTGCCTAGTTCAAATTATTTTTTGTTATTGTCCTGTAAAAAGCTTTGAAAACATTTTCTCAGGCTCATGAAACGATAAGAAATGCATTCAAATAACTTCACGGATAGTGTACCAAACTAAAAAATTTCTAGAGCATTTGGCTCGCACATTCAGATCGCTATTTTGAACATCTTAATTTTATCAGTGATCATCGGATGTGATGACTAAAAAGGAAATATTCCAAATCAGCTTTAGCGATATTGCTGCAAATCACCATTCGAGACCACGGTTCCAATTCGTCAAGTTTATAACTTTATCTAAACAGTACGTAGAAGATTTTTATATTGCACTCATACAGGAATGTGCGTTTGAGGGTCCCCAAATTTCTGAAAATAAAAAAGAATGAGAGCGTTCAATAACTTGGACTGTGCCCATAATGCATATATAAAAGTTGTTTCGGCTAATTGATGACATAAATGGAACAAAAATTCAGAAATTTGCTCAAAAATGTGCTGACGAAAATTTCGTTACAGTAGAAATTCGAAGCTTCGCAACATACATAGTTACCGCTTCCGTGCACTCCCACTGAAAAATTTCTGTGAAAAAAGTTTGACTCTTCCAAACTCCTCCAAAAAACAAAAAGCTTTTTTTCTTCACCAGATAAGAAGAAGATGTTTCCATCTCTGTGAAAATGTTTTCATAAAAAAACCTTAGCTTCCCTTATGTAAACTAATTTTAGAGTAAACAATGAAGCACAAAGAAATTCTTGATGTATTCTGTTTTATTTAACTTATTATCTCTCAGTATGGTTCAAGGAATTGAGAAAATGATGGGCAGAGGAAAAATTTCATGGCCAGTCAAGTTATAGGGATAGAAACAAGCAGTTTCGCTATCTCTAGCAATGTCTCCATAGTATACTTTGATTTTCGTCATTCGATTTTTTAGAAGAATCAATGAAGTTCAAAAAGAAATCCTGATGTGCTCTTATTCTTTTGACTTTGATCTCTCAAAAGAATTCAAGGATTTTAGGAAAAAAGTGATGATTATCAGGGGAGAATATTTAAGCGGAGGATGATTAAGACATCCATGCATAATTGCTCACTTTTTTGGAGAAACCTTTCCCAGAGTTTTCCAAATGTTTGTAGCTCATATGCAGAGATTTTTTTCGCATTCTTTCGCGAATATGGGTTTCCAGAGTCGTGCTTCAAATTTTCAGTTGGATTTTCTTCGCTTGCATAGGTATCCGTCCAGCCCAGGTTCATAAGTCACATCATAATATGTCTTTAAGATCAATAGAACGATTAATATCAGTATCTAAGGATGTCCCAAACATGTATATATTGCTTGATCGTTAAAAAAAACTCTTCTCGAAAAGTCTTTCGCCTATAGGGCATTCGGAAAATAGTGACCATAACGTTACCGCGCGCGACACGCACGCACTTCTGACAACCGAATTATCCCGGTTCTTCTTCACTCGAATGGTTTTTCTGTTTATCTATGATAGTATTTAGACACTGGAAGCGACTGAGCTGAGCGTTTGGGTGATGCATTCTTCTATGTGTTTTTATGTTTTTGTGGGCGCAAAGACCGAATCCTCGCCACGATTTTATAAATGACCTATACCTTTAGGTAGCAGTTATAGAGCTGGCTTCATTTTGAATTTACACTATGAAAACAATCACTGGTCGGTATTCCGTCTAGAAGAAGGTTTACGCAATATTTGAGAAGTTGTGTAGTAAGGTTTTCACGCTAGTATTACAAAAGTTCCGACTTTTTCAGACTTTCGATGCTTAATTACATGAGGAAAATAATAAAACAGTTTCTCCTTCAAATCCCACATAACTGGTGAGATTAGTGATAAATGCAGTTTTGATACTCAAATTCAGCGGCTCTAGCCCAACTCAAAAGTTTTCAGCTCGTTTGGTTTCCTTTCTGAGATAAAATGCGACCCGTACAGGTCCAAAGCCCTCTTTAAAGTTTCTACAGTAATCGTACAGTAATGAAGAGAGTTTGGTTATTGGTTCCTTACTGCATATTTGAGATGAAGGAAGCTCTACAAAATGGGACCTGAGGAAAGGTAAAAAGGTTTTTGGGAAGACAATTATTGGGTTGTCGGATAGATTTTTTCACGCTTTTTTGTGAAATTCTGCAAAATTGCGGATGTACGAGTGATGCGAATGCATAGATGCATAGCTGACAAGTTTGCGACATGTCAGTTTTTCTTCGATTTTTTCTGTGCTTCGTTAAGTTTTTTCTCTTCTATAATTTTTTGAAACATATTTTCGTACTGTCTCTTTTAGGGCTGCACTTTGGTGCCGCTAGCATGTCAAAAACTAGTGAAAAATAATCAAAAAATTGGATTCGATAATGTTTTCTGTGCATCGCATAGAATTTGATCGGAGAGGTTGGGAGTGAATTTTGTAAATTTTTGCAAATTATTATTCATGTTGGAAAGCGAACGTGCGCTGACATGGCGCAAAATGTAGCCCCTGTGATCGTGAGCGAACATGTTGCCATCTCCCTATATATGCCGAAAACTGTGGACCAAACCCTGCCCGATTACCACATCGCCCGGTCTTTCCCTGATCGCCAGGCAGAATGCAGTTCGTTGACAAAAAATGTTCATGAAACATGCTCCCGCCGATAAAGTTGGCGTTTTGCACACGGACTACGGATCTGACGGTACCGTTTGGCAGGCTTTGCATGTCAACAATCCTTGAACATAAGAATTTCCGAAAGTTTACCAGATTTTTAAGAGATCAAAATAAAAGTGCAAGAAAAATTATCCGACAACCTATATAAAGGCTGTCGTGGACTTATGCCCGAAATGTGAGCATTGTGCTCGTGAACGAACTCATACCAAGCCCTGCTGTTACCTCTCTTTATTTATGTGAAGTAAAAAAATTCAAATACATACATACGCTTACGTGCCCTGGAGAATATCAGCGGAATTACACAACGGATTATTTCTGTTTGTTCTTATTTTTAAGCGCAGACGACGATTATCTGCTAAGCTTGAGTGGGAGGCAAGGTGAAAAATCTTATGACCATTTCATGATTTCCAGTGAGACGTGAGATAGGCTAAGATAGAACGTCATTAGATATGGAGGCTTATATCATCTGCATGTGTCTGGTACTTAACAGTACAGTTAACAGTACAATCATGAACGCTCTTTGAATCAATCAAAAAATTCGATCAGTTGGAGTTCGACCTTCATTAAAGTAAAGGGAAGTATTAGGTATGCTCAGCTGAAACTAATACCTTGAAGACACGACACAGTGCCTTGTCCCAGAAAGCAGTGATAACGATAGAAAAAAACTGATGGTTATGAGAACAAATCAGAATATATGCAGTAACCTCGAATATTCCCTGCTAAAGCATATTTTTGTGAAAGGCAATTTTTCTTAATATTCGATAGCCATATTTGTTGACCATAGATAGCAAACGCTTTGTTTTCTATGGTGCAAAGCAAATTTGATTCGAGCTGCACAAGTAAACAATCGATTGAATCAAGGAAACATGTGTAAATATCTATTGATTGTTTTCCGATACGGTTCACTTACTTATTATTTGAAAAATCCTTGCATAGTAAATAATCATAAGAAGACAAAGTTTGTTGTGCTTGGCTTGCACCAAGCCCGTAAGTTGTTTTTTGGTTTTGGTATGAAACGTTCTGTCTAACAACGATTTTTTCTAGAAATGCGAAATTCAGTAAAATATTAGGTTGGTGCAAAAGTAATGCGCGTTTTTCTAGCCCTTATTTCAAGAAACTTTTCTCCATCGAAGTTTCTCCCATGAAACTTACACAGCATAGCCTGAAGAAGCTTCTTTCATGCTCTATTCAATGGTGGTTGAAAGAAGCTTCTAACCTCGATCGTTAAGAATTCATAGAGCTTCATACAACCGCGCTCGAAACCAGAATTTCATTGCACTTACTTTTTTGGCCAGAATTTGAGCGCGAAAAATCGCATTTTTGAGAATTTAACTACTGTATATAGTAGAAATTTTCTACGTTACGCACGCTTTGCTGTTTTCTCAGAAATCATTTAGACTGAGATTTCGGTGCCCCAACATGAGTGATGGTTTTGAACATTCTGTGGCCCATAGATTTCCTTTGAAGAGGGCAATCGCCAAAGTTTTGCTCATTCCTGTAAGCGTAAGAGTGGACCTCCTGTTGACAGTTTTTACAAAAACGTGGAAGCTGATCAACACAGAAAATGAAAAATCCCCATACTTTGGGATTTTGAGGGCTACGAAAAAATGTCGAAAAAAGCGGACAATTTTAAATATTATTTTTTTCCTTTCTCAAATCTTTTTTGTTTGAGTCCCTTTTAACTTTTTTTTGTACTACTGGCTTGCGGCTACAAGATAGTCAACTTTTCATTTATATCAACAAATCTTGAAGGAAGTTATGATCAGTTAAAAACGAGGTTTCCGAAAAAAAAATTTTTTGCTTATCAATCCATATTTTTTCACCGTTTTGCGATGTATTAATGTGCGCTGTATAGAGAGAGGTTTGGTGCCTCTGGCGGATTTTGCCGCGCTAAAAAATATGGATTTTTTAGAAAGTTATAGCACGTCAAAGTAAGAACTCGCAAAACGCGCATTACTTTTGCACCAACCTAATAAAACCAACTTTCATTCTTGCGAATACTACTATAAATGCACTCAAAGCAGCGTTCGAGCCTACTTGGGCATCTAACAATAAGGATGGCACGTGGAATATGTTAATTCTGGGATCCAAACTAAAACATTGCCCACTCCAAA